CGTTTCATTAAATTATTAGAGAAAGAAGACGATTTGTTGTACCATTCTCGACTCTTATTTGACTGAATTCCCCCCCCCCCCCCTCCCGCGCGAAGCACGAAAACTTTGGCCTTTCATAGTTTAATGAAATTATTAGAGAAAGGAGATGACTCGTTGTTCCATTCTCGACTCTTAATCCTTGTCTGAATTCAGTTCCCCTCCCCCCCCCCCCCCCCCCCCCCCCTCCCTCCCGCGCGAAGCGCGGAATCTTAGACGTTTCATTAAATTATTAGAGAAAGAAGACGACTCGACTCTTAATCCTTGGGTGTATTCAGTTTCCTCCTGCCCGCGCAAAGCGCGGAAGCTTTGCCCTTTCATTAATTATTATAGAAAGAAGATTTGTTGCACCATTCTCGACTCTTATTACTTGACTGAATTCACCCCCCCCCCCTCCCGCGCGAAGCACGGAAGCTTTGGCCTTTCATAGTTTAATGAAATTATTAGAGAAAGAAGATGATTCGTTGTACCGTCATCCTCTTAATCCTTGTCTGAATTAAGTTCCCGTCCCCGGCCCCCCCTCCCACGCGTAGCGCTGAAGCTTTGACGTTTAATTATTTAAAGGAAAGGAGACGATTCTTTGTACCATTCTCGACTCTTAATCCTTGTCTGAATTAAGTTCCCGTCCCCCCCCCCCCCTCCAGCGCGTAGCGCTGAAGCTTTGACGTTTAATTAAATTATATGGAAAAGGAGACGATTCTTTGTACCATTCTCGACTCTTAATCCTTGTCTGAATTGAGTTCCCGTCCCCCCCCCCCCCGCGCTAGCGCTGAAGCTTTGACGTTTAATTAAATTATAAGGAAAAGGAGACGATTCTTTGTACCATTCTCGACTCTTAATCCTTGTCTGAATTGAGTTCCCGTCCCCCCCCCCGCGCGTAGCGCTGAAGCTTTGACGTTTAATTAAATTATGAGGAAAAGGACGATTCTTTGTACCATTCTCGACTCTTAATCCTTGTCTGAATTAAGTTCCCGTCCCCCCCCCCCCTCCAGCGCGTAGCGCTGAAGCTTTGACGTTTAATTAAATTATATGGTAAAGGAGACGATTCTTTGTACCATTCTCGACTCTTAATCCTTGTCTGAATTGAGTTCCCGTCCCCCCCCCCCCGCGCTAGCGCTGAAGCTTTGACGTTTAATTAAATTATAAGGAAAAGGAGACGATTCTTTGTACCATTCTCGACTCTTAATCCTTGTCTGAATTGAGTTCCCGTCCCCCCCCCCCCCCGCGCGTAGCGCTGAAGCTTTGACGTTTAATTAAATTATGAGGAAAGGAGACGATTCTTTGTACCATTCTCGACTCTTAATCCTTGTCTGAATTAAGTTCCCGTCCCCCCCCCCCCCCTCCAGCGCGTAGCGCTGAAGCTTTGACGTTTAATTAAATTATATGGAAAAGGAGACGATTCTTTGTACCATTCTCGACTCTTAATCCTTGTCTGAATTGAGTTCCCGTCCCCCCCCCCCGCGCGTAGCGCTGAAGCTTTGACGTTTAATTAAATTATAAGGAAAAGGGGACGATTCTTTGTACCATTCTCGACTCTTCCTTGTCTGAATTAAGTTTTCCCTTGCCCGTGTGATGCGCGTAAGCTTTGACGGTTCATTAAATTATTAGAGGAAGAAGACGAATCGTTTTACCATTCTCGTCTCTTAATCCTTCTTTGAATTCAGTTTTCCCCCTCCCACGCGCGAAGCGCGGAGGCTTTGACGTTTCATTAAATTATTAAAGAGAGAAGACGATTCGTTGTACCGTTCTCGACTCTTAATCCTTGTCTGAATTGAGTTCCCGCCCCCTCCCGCGCGAAGCGCGGAAGCTTTGACGTTACATTAAATTATAAGGGAAAGGAGACGATTCTTTGTACCATTCTCGACTCTTAATCATTGTCTGAATTGAGTTCCCGTCCCCCCGCCCTCCTCCCGCGCGAAGCGCGGAACTTGGCGTTGACGTTTCATTAAAGTATTAGAGAAAGAAGATGATTCGTTGTACCGTCATCGACTCTTAATCCTTGTCTGAATTAAGTTTTCCCTTGGCCGCGCGTAGCGCGTAAGCTTTGACAGTTTATTAAATTATTATCCTTCTTTGAATTCAGTTTTTCCCCTCCCACGCGAAGCGCTGAAACGTTTGACGTTTCATTAAATTATTAGAGAAAGAAGATGATTCGTTGCACCGTCATCGACTCTTTATCCTTGTCTGAATTAAGTCCCCCCCCCATTCTTGCGCGAAGCGCGGAAGCTTTGACGTTTCATTAGATTATTAGAGAAAGAAGACGATTCGTTTTACCGTTCTCGACTCTTAATCCTTGTCTGAATTGAGTTCCCGCCCCCCCCCCCTTCCGAGCGAAGCGCGGAAACGTTGACGTTTCATTAAATTATTTGAGAAAGAAGATGATTCGTTTTACCATTCTCGACTCCCAATCCTTGTCTGAATTCAGTTGCCCCCCCCCGAGTGATGCGCGGAGCTTTGACATTTCATTAAATTATTGGAGAAGAAGACGATTCGTTGTACCGTTCTCTATTACACCTACCATGGATAAATCACGCGCCGGGAGCGTCATCATTTTGTGTTATCGGGCGAGGGCCGGGGCCGGGGCGTAGCGACCAAGCGAGATTTTGCAATGTTGAATGCTGAAATTATGCATTCTAAAAAATTCCTAAGCCCGATATGTACGTTCTTTCCGCTATATTTATTTCTAGCTATATTTCTAAATTTCCTGGGAGACTTGTCCCCATATCGGGCCCAGGATCGCCGCCCCTGTCCATGATTACTACCAACATGAGTTCTAATACAATCACAAGCGAGTCGATACGAGCTGAATCCAAATGAAGGGCAAAATAAGAGTTGTGAAGCGGCCCTACCGTTAATTTAAAATTTGACTGTTGAGTATATACCCGGCCCCCCCCCCCCCACTCAGTGTTTATTTAGGGTACGCATATGCTCGTACCCTCTTTTTGAAAGCACCCCCTATCTGAGGACTGCCAACATTTCCGAACCCCCTTTTGCTGGCTTTTTGCGGGCTTTTCCTGCCTTGGAGACCCCCCTTAATCAGGAAAAATGCTCAATGTACCCCCCTAAATTCGGAATAATTTCTCAGGAGTCCAAAGAGATGAGAGAAAAAAAAAAAAACACCCCCCTTTTAAAGAAATCTTCGGGTGAAAAGTCAAATACACCCCTTTTTTTTACAATTCTCGGGCCGGACTTTGTCGCACGAAAAGTACCCCTTTACCGGACATTTTGGCAACACGCATGCGGTCATTCCGACCTCTGAGTGGGGGGGGGGGGGCCGGGAGAATATAACTTCTATTTAAAAGACATCCAAAATATTGTGCCCTTTTCAATTTCTCACTAAAGAGTGATGACCGCAGGGGCTGTTCTTAACGTTTAACTTTGAATCCGCGGCTCGAGATTTTATGCGGCCGGCCCGGCCCCCCTCTATTCAATAACGTTTGCCAATGAGCCTTCTGGAATGTCCCCTAATCTCCCGATTACAGTTTTCCCATATTTGTCGTTACTGCCACTTAGCGCCATTTCCTTGCCTTTCCCCCTTTCTCACCGACTTTTCTTTTCCCCCCCCCCCCCCCCTCTCACCCTCTCAGTGTATCAAGGGTACGCACATGTATATTCCCCAGACGCGTATACAGGGGGGGGGGGGGGTTTGGGGGGTTAAACCCCCCCTTTAGTAATTTTTTGTGAGTAAACCCCCCCTAAATTTTTCTAAACCCCCCCCCCCCCCTTTTGGATTTTTTTTATTTTTTTTATTTTTTTATTAAAAAAAAAAAAAACAAAAAAAACAAAAAAATTCCCATGGTTGACCTCTTAGCCCCCCCCCCCCGCTTATTCAGCGGTCGGCTGAGTCGTTGCGATTTTTTTTGGACCAAAAAAAAAAAGTGACCTCTTACCCCCCCCCCCCCCCCCCCCCCCCCCCCCCCCCCCCCCCCCGCTTATTCAGCGGCTGGCTGAGTCGTTGCAAAATTTTCGGCCCGATTTATAAATGTTAACCCCCCCCCCCCCCCCCCCCCTTGAAAAAATCCTGCGTACGCGCCTGATGTTCCCTCTCTTTGAAAGCACCCCTCTGTCTCCGGTACGTGTGTAAAGTCAGTACGGGCCGGATTTTTGTGTATTGCGGGCCGGACTTTGTTTCGTGAAAAGTAACTCTTTATCGGAAATTTAGGGAACACAAATTCGGTCCCTCCGACCCCGGAGTTGGAGGGAGGGGGGGGGGGGGGGCTTTTTGTTTATCTTTTCTCTTCTATTTTCTTTTCTCTTCTTTTTTCCTTTCTCTTCTCCTTTCTTTTCTCTTCTCCTTTTTTTTCTCCTCTTCTCCTTTTTTTTTTCTTCTTCTTTTTCCTCTTTTTTTCTTCCTTTTTTTTGCGCCGCCAATAGGGGGGGGGGGGCGCCGCGGCCGTTTCGGCCCCCCTTGGATCCGCCACTGCAGTGTCACAAATAAGGTATCTAAATATGCTTATCTGACCATAATTGTAATGCCTAAAACCCCTGAGCTTTTGGGGGCTCAGCCCCTAATTGACCCCCTTCCAGGGCTCAGGCCCTTGACCCCACGCCATTTTACGCTCTACCTGATCGTTAATAATCCACTTTGAAAAACGTTCCGTTCAGTATGTTATAATTAAGGGGGGGGGGTTCCCTCCTCCCTCCTCCGCGAAGCGCAGAAGTTCTGTCGTTTTATTAAATTATTAGAGAAAGAAAAGACGATTCGTTGTACCGTTCTCGTCTCTTAAAGGGGAAGTCCACCCTGAAATTAAGTTAGTTTTAATAGGAGTAGAAAAATGAGAGAAACAAGTAAGTGAAAGTTTGAGCAAATTCCGATTAAAAATAAGGAAGTTAGGATTTTTGTGGGGGGCAGGCCCCTAGATCCGCCACTGCCTCTACCCCCTCCCCGTCACCGGCGAATACACATTTATAAACAGGAAGAAATTTCGCACAAATAATTATTCGATGCATATAGCCTACATGCATATACATGTATGACGTCGTCGTATTGTTGTCTCATCATTGGAATCGCCCGAAGTTTCCGATTCTTCGGTTGTCAGTTTGTTCGCTCTTCTTTCTCTACTCGAGTACTTAAGTAAGTAAGTAAATAAGTTAGTACTAACTTTTAGTAGAATTAGAATTGGATTAACTTTAGAGTTACTTTTACAAACTGCTGCGGTTTTTCAACGCGGAGATCTGATCGGGAATGTCGAGCTAGCTGTCACTGAAACGGTGCACCCGGCCGCCCGGCGCTCCACCGCTTGTTAAGTGCTCGCTAATATGCTTACATGTAGCCCTAAATAGCTAGCTAGCTGAAACTGATGCTAGGCTCAGGCTCAGCTCCGACGCCACTGGTAGAGGGAGGCGCGGAAGTGCGAGGGGGGGGGGGGGGGGTAGTTGCCCCCTCAACCAAGAAAGAAAAAGCAGTAGATTTATAGGAGTAAAGGTGGTTTGTATTTTTAACCCAAAAGAACATAACATTAACAATAATAAAAACCTGAATAAAATCATATAGATAAATTCCATTCAAAGAAATTAAAGGAGTTAATTGCATGGCCCATGGGCTAGATCTACAGGAATTAAATTTCTTAAACATTGCGCATATGCCCATTATATTTATCAATGGAGGTTTTTATAATAGCGATACGCGCATATCGCGGACATATTGTGTGAGAATGCGAAAAGCGTGAAGCGTGTCTGTTTTTTGTTACAGGGGTGAGAAGACATGAGCCCTAGCTGAACGCTGAGTACTGATGGGGCCAGGGGGGGGGGGGGGGGTTATTTCTTATTCGATACCAGTGATTTACAAATGTTGCTAAAATGACATGATTTTCTGGTATTTTTTCTCAATTTTTTTGTAAGTCATACATGCATTTGTTGGAAAATTAGAATTTCCCAAATATACTGTAGATCTAGGCCTAAAGGTGTCGGGCTAAAAATATATATGCTTATTTAGAAGCCTTTATGTCATGGTCCCTCACTTTGTGAAAAAGTATGTACAGAGAAAAAAAGAAAGAGAGAGAAAACAAATAAGTGACCTACATTTGTAGCTGCCAATGTCACAAATGACCTGCATTGTAGGTATCAAAATATGCTCATGCAGCTGACTGTTATAAATGCCTAAAACCCCAGAGCTTATGGGGGATCTGCCCCCTGGACCCCATCAAGGGCCTTAAAGAAGGCCCCTGGATGCTCATCTGACTGTAGTTCAATATTAAAACTTCTGAGCTTCTGGGAGCTCTGCCCCCTGGAACACATCAATGGCCTTAAAGAAGGCCCCTGGATGCTCACCGTAATTAAATACCTACATGTAAAACCCCTGAGCTTCCGGGGCTCTACTCCCTGGATTCTCCGCCAATTAGTGACCTGCCAGTGTCACAAATAAGGTATCTAAATATGCTTATCTGACTGTAATTTAATGCCTAAAAACCCTGAGCTTCTGAGGGCTCAGCCCCTTGACCCCCTGCCGAGGCTCAGTCCCTAGCTGGACCCCACACCAGCATACGCTCTACATGTACCTGATCGTTAATACTCCACTTTGAAAAACGTTCCGCGGGGCCTGCATGTAATTTGCAAGAGTAGTGGTGATACAAATTTTTTTTCTTCCCCCCCCCCTTCCAAACGTTTTTGCTCATTATGTTACTGCCCCTGGAATGTTTGTCCCCCCCCCCCCCCCAATCCCAAACTGCTTCCGGCGCGCCTGGGGATCATGCATCTTAAATAATTAAATTAACCGTCTGACATGTCTGGTATGGGGAATTAATTAATAAAACTGACATTTTGTCAGCTGTAGTCAAAGGTTTAACCGTCCGGTATCCGACCTCCCATCCGTTTTCAATTGGACGGTTTTGTCTTCCTGTTTATTTTTTATTTATTTATTTTTTATAATTTTTTTTTTTTTTTTAAAGTTTTGATTTATGCCTCTCCACGGTCACCTGGCGCTATGCCTTGCAATGTCTCCCAGCTCAGTAATCGGTGTGTTGACTTACCACTCTGAAACTAGAACAACACTTCAATTTGTCTGTCATCTTGGTTTGAAAGTAATCTTTGTAATATATCTCAATATGTAATTTATAATAATAATTCATCCAATTTTTCTTCTATTACACACGCGTACCACAAGGTTCTATCCTAGGTCCTCTACTGTTTTTAATTTGCATTACACATTCTTTTCAAAACGACACAAATCGGTGCCTTCAAATGCACCACGTTAAATGAAAGTCCTTCCTGCTTTTTCACACGGACCTGGCTTGCTTTAAAAAAAAAAAATTGTTTAACTGAAAACCGTTGACTGGCAGTTAAACGGAATTGGAGATATCTGTGATGTTACAACAGTGTTGTAACAACACTATTGTCAACCTTCCCCAAATACAGGCCTCATTACATAAGCGGGTTGCAAAATTTTGTGATCATATGGTGATGAGGCGGGCTGAAACCAGGGGCATCGGAACTGTCCCATCATTTTTTTGTTGAGGGGGGGGGGGGGGGGGAGGAGGTTGGTTAGACACTTTGGGGCCCCATCTCGAATGGAATTTTGGCAAATAAACTACTTTCATATAGCCACCCTCCCCTCTACAGTGTATATGGCAAACAAACAACTTTAATGTCATATGGACTAGATCTTGAGTCTATTTCTGTTATTTCCAAAGGTTATTAAATGTTTCAAATTAAAACAAAAGAAAGTAAGACTCTGCATTGTTCTTTTTGTAGAATTCAGCTTTGTTTTAGCATGTTAAGTATAGAAAATTAGAAATAGAATCTAATCCAAGCCTATATTCAGTTATTATTTTCATAAGTCTTTTTTTAAGACATGTAGGCCTACCTAAAATAAATAGAGGTTCTGTAAGATTACTACTATAGGGATCATACAAGTTAAAACTCCAAAGCAAGCTTCAACTAGGCCAAGTCCACTCCAAAAATAAATTGCTTTTAATAAATGCAGAAAAACAAGAGAAACAGAGCATTCTTTTGATAGTAGAAATCAGTTTACTAACAAGGAAGTTATCTTTTTAAAAGTATGAACAACTATGGAACTTAGAAAATCTCTACACAAATTGCAAATTTGGTTATCAGTTTGTGACGTCATTGCCTCACTATTTATTAATATTTTTATCCCATTAGTTTCCTGTTTTATCCTCAAAAAATTGATCTCCCCCTGCCTTTGCCCAGGTTATATGATTTGTATCATATTGCGTGCATTGCATTTCACAAAATCTTTTATGAACTTTGAAGAATTGATGCTCTTTTCTGAATATTATACATGTACAGTATATTCATAATCATTGATTGTGTACATATGAATAGTTTATCATAATTCCCATTTTCATGATTAAACTGAAAAAAAATACTCCATATTATTAGTGCATCCACACAAAAACACATTACTATCTCCCTTGTATCCTTCTTCTGCTAAGATTGAAGATCGTCGGCACTGTGATTGTGCTGAAGTTCCATAAAAGGCTTTCTATAGGTCAATGAGGTAGGCCTACACATGTACATGTACTTAGTATAAAGTATAGGATAAATGTAGAACTTGTGTGAGGAAATAAGATTGTTATGGGGAAAATTAGAAATTGATATTATCAATATACCGTAAAGAAAACAATTAGTGGATAGGGAGGCAATGACGTCACAGACTCATGAGTGAGTTGCCAATTTGTCTTGTGATTTTCAAAGTTTTTCATGTCATTAAAAATTCATACAGTGTAACTTAGTTATCCGATTTAGCTCAAACTTTTTTTTGATTGGTTTGTCTGATTTTTCTGCTTCTATTGAAAGTAACTTATTTTTGGAGTGGACTTGCCCTTTAATATTACTAGTACTTTTTCTCTTTTTTTAAATCATTGGTCTCTAACAAAGAAGCATTTAATTAACTAAGGAGCAGTTATTGTTTTTTCCTATGTTTTTCTATCCTTTTTTTTTCAATTTTTAATTAATTAATTAATTAATTTATTTATTTATTAATTATTATTATTAGGTGGTCTGTCATTGGCAGATCACGTATCGATTTCGGCAGAATATTCTTTCTTTATTCTTTATCTTTATTTATTTGACACCCACTTCAGTATAGTCTATTTCTTTCAATTTTAGCACAGTCATAGGTCACTGTCATAAGCCGTGTCGTCAACATTTACAAGTTCATTGTAAATGGGATTTTATTAAAACATTCATAACTTTATTCTCATTTGTGTTGCGTTCTCACTTACCGGTACTTATTTTGATATATGATTTTTCTACTTCTGTAAACAACAACTTTTGGCCCAGAGAAATAAAGGAAATTCAACCATATAATGTCAAATTGGTCTATTAAAAGGAACCGGTAACTTTGTCTTAGATCTTTTAACAAAATCGTTGATTTAGCTCATGCTGCAATGATAATTATAAACCTTTAGGTCAGTCAGGAACCCCATGACTTTTACAATCCGATTGCCTGTCTGATTATCAAGATTGAAAATCGTAATCAAATTTTGCGTTTGCCAAACGGTTTTCATAATAGTACAGTCTATTGGGGAAAAAGAGTATGGTAAAACCGGTCGCTCAAAGGTTTTTACTTTTTTGAGGCACTTCTTGATCATCAATTTTGAAGGGCAAATTTTGTAGGGCTTCAATATAACGCCATATACACGTAGGGCCGTGCATCTCCGTTTTAAAATTGTTTAACGATCCCTTTAAAAGCTAACAGAAAGCAGCAAAGCAGAACATGTACAAATTAAATCAAACAGTATTTTTTTTCAAATACTGGTAAAAATCGTTAATTATATTCTCATTATTTATGATCTGATTTCTTTGAAAATTTGGCCATCATGTTTCTCTCAATTTTTGTTTGCTTTCAGAAAAGACTTTTGGTATAGATCCATGTCCCTGCCATTTTTATGATCGCCAGATTCCAAATACCATGCACTATACATATTTTTTTTAATGTTAGTTGTTATTAGTACAGTATTTCTATTTTTACAAGGTAGCATTGTCAGTTACAAAACTGCTTTCCACAGTGGCCTTGTTGGCCTAGATTAATGGTATTTAAAATATGAATAAAGATTGAAATTTGATAGATATCATAACTACATGTACATTTGTAAGTTCTGTGTAAAGATACATGTAAAAAATAATGTATCAATAAGGAAAGAAGGCGAATCAAAAGACTTTCATCTCAAATTACAAAAAGCAACAATAACAAATTTACCAAAAATGTACAAAAGACAAACAAACTTTTATATTTTGTAAACCTATTTTGGACAACATATTTGTTTAAGGTTTCAGGAAATGGATATTATTTAGACAAGTGTTCCCCATAATACTTGACTGGGTGTGTACAAGTACATGTAGTGTACTTATCTATGCAGTCATGAAGGTGTGTCAATATTAAAAGTAATGCCTATTGCATGTACGTTCCTAGCTGCTCTAGTGTATATTAGAAGGGAATTCCCCTTTACACTACCTTATCCATGTATCGCACAGCAACGTACTGCACAATGGGACAATGGCTTTATTTTGTTTATGAATAGGAGAGACAGCTATGGCAAACGCCAGTGAACCTTGGCACTGCATGTAATGTCAATGATACAATGCTTCGCTTTTATCACCTTGATCACTACATGTTGTATTCATGATGCAAGCTGCCAGCATTTTGCTTGCATTAAATGTACATGCTGTACTACATGTATATAAATGAACATAATAGTGGTACACAGGTGAATGCATAAAATTGGCAAATTGGCTGTTCAATTTCCCCTGGAAAGTGTTGAACACAACAAAATATATATACTGTATGTGACGTTGTGTGAACTACTGGCTAGATCTGAGTTTAAGATTTTCATTACATTGACAAATAAAAGGTGACAAGATGGCACATTATACAAACAAGAATATACTGTAATTGATGAATCGCAGTTGTATCAATAAAATTGTTCCAAATACTTGAGCTTTGTACATCAATGTTGAGGGTCTGTATGATCTGCGGAGATATCACTGGTGTTTGAATTCCAACTGTTGTGTTATGGGACATGGCCTAATGTCGAGTATAACACACTGTAGATTATGGATACAAATAAGTGAGATCTTCGAGACGATTATAGCGTCACATCTTACTTGGGTAAGAGGTTTATTGGCGCGGCCCAATATCCCGCGTCACAATGATATGCGTGCGCGCATCATGTAGTTCGTCATAATACAACATCCCCTTTTCCTTACAAAAAAAAAGGAACAATGAGTTTGACAGAAATATATATATATCTGTGTCCTTTTTTTTTCCTTTTTCTTCAAATATGTGTATCACTTCCGGCTGAGCCTAACTTGTAGGCATACTCTTTTTTTAATGAACGAATGACGTATTTGTAGATTGCGCTATTTTTTTTTTTTTTTAGACAATAACTCGATCTGAACACACAACAGTTCAAACTTGTAACACATGCATATCCTGTGCATGTAAACTATTTGATTAACTCAAATTTCAAACTCAATACATGTATATATAATTTTGCAGAACATTGATCTTGTTCAGAGTTTTGGTATTGCCCTAATACTTAGGCTGTTGTTTGGTTCTGAATAACAAGCAAATTTCTTATTATCAACAGATTATGGATTGATACACAAACCAGGAAGTACGGTTTCAATTACGACATTTATAACATTTTAGATCATTTTTGTTATCGCTTCAATAAAATCACTTGATGCATTTTCTGATCTTATTTGTTTGTTATTTGTTTGATGTTATTTGCTTGAATTGACTTTGTATTGTAAATGTTTTTTTTTATTTTTATTTTCATCAGAATGTGAAAATAAAAAATCGAAAAAAATTGAAGTAACATTTTATATCATTTTTGTTGTTGCTTCCATAAGATCACTTGATGCATTTTTCTGATCTGATTGTTGTGAATACTTTGGGTTTAGGTGTAGTCCTGATAGCGTTGTGGCTTTCTGATCATTCTACCAGACCTGGTAGATGTAACGCTTGGGTGTGTGTTCTTGTGTGGGGTAGGTGGTGTGTTTGGATCGGCCGATGACTGTGTTTCATCCTCCACGAAGCTCACACGCCTTCGTACAGGGCTCACTATTCCTTCATCCTGAATGGAGGTGCTAGTGGATGGTTTGTGCAATTCCCTGAGATGGGACCTGTTCCTCCGTAAGGAGGACCTGTTTGGTGTCTCCACCACATATGAGTTCCGCTCCTCACATATCCTGGACACCCTGGCGGGTATCCAGCATTTTCGTTCATCCAAGACCCTCACTCTCTGGTCCACACGGAGTGGTGCGAGGATGGGTCCAGCCGTCCTGTCATGTTCTTCTTTCATCCTCACCTGCCTCTGACGCATATTTTCTTGGACCTCGTCGGTGTTTCTCGGGTTTGACAGATGGCTTGGCAAAGTGGTCCTGATTTGCCGTCCAAGTAGGAGTTCTGCCGGTGAAGGTATATTTGATCCCAAAGGAGTGGCCCGGTAGTGGAGGAGTGCAACCTGGGTGCCCTGACCGGTCTCTCTGCACTTCTTCATGATTCCCTTTATCGTCCTCACGTTCCTCTCTGCCATCCCGTTGGACCGGGGGTACCGGGGTGATGAGGTTGTGTGTTCGATCCCCCATTTTTTACACATGTCTCGAAATGGCTGGCCAGCATATTGAGGTCCGTTGTCCGATATTATCAGCTCTGGTACTCCGAAGAAGCTGAATGATGCACTTAGTGTGTTGGCAACCACTACACTGCTAGTATTCCGGAGCTTGTGAACCGCTGCCACCATGTTGTGTTATGGGACATGGCCTAATGTCGAGTATAACACACTGTGAATTATGGATACAAATAAGTGAGATCTTCGAGACAATTATAGAGTCACATCTTACTTGGGTAAGAGGTTTATTGGCGCGGCCCAATATCCCGCGTCACATTGATATGCGTGCGCGCATCATGTAGTTCGTCATAATACAACACCAACTGAATTTCCATTTTAAAGGTTCATTTGCATTTCACACTAAGGGTGTGTTTATGCTTCATTTTTTCAGGCAAGAATGAGGCTTTTGATATGCGTTTAGTTCACACCACGGTTGCGTCCTTTCTCATTTTCATAGAATCACCGATAAACGGCGATCATAATCGTAAACTCACAATAAGGTGCGTTTACGATCGGCGTTTCTCCCAAAAGATGTTTTTTTTTGGGAAGCATATTAAAACGCACAATCATTTGTAAACGCGTTTAAAGGATGTCGTAATTCACATGAAAATCTGCGCGCTTGTTTTTTTCTCAAGCGGGCATGCGCATAATTATACAGGACTTGGGAGCGTTTGGCGAGCTCAAAGAGAAGGATATACTTCTGTCTGGATTTTTAATAATATGAAAATCAGGCTTTCTGACATGTCTATTCAGGAATGGAGTGCAGCTACATGGTTTGTGAAAAGTACCTGCAGATATTATGTAAGAAGTAAGCAATAACTTCAAGTAAATTTAGATGTAGAACACATAGATTAACTGTTATTAAAGGCATCAGTCAAGTTCACCAGTTGAATTTTTTTTTCTTCATGGGAATTCATATTAAATTGTATTCCTTGCTTTTGTGGTATTCTTACAAGGAGGGCAGTGTACATGTTCATGTATCGTCCTCCCCCCCACCCACCCTGAGAACAACATCAACATTTGAAGAAGAACAAAAAAAGGCAGAAAAAACCCTTCCCTTCCCCCTCCCTCCCCCCTCCCTTCTCCCTCCCTTCCCCCTCCCTTCCCCCTCCCTTCCAAAAATAAAAAAGTCCTTAAATTTGTAGATGTACCGTATTTGCCGGCGTAAAGGCCGCACCGCCGTATAGGCCGCACCCCCGATTTTGACATTTAAAAAAAAAAAAAAAAAAAAAAAAAAAAAAAATTGTTTTTTTATTTTATTTTGGTTGTTGTTGTTGTTTTGTTGCCGAAAACCCACGCGGGGAAGGACCTTCATTTAACATCGAGGTGCAGTTAAAGGCGCTGATTTGTGCTTGTAAACTTGTCACAAAATAATAGTAACAATGTCGTTTTTAGAAGAATGTGTAAGATCATTAATGTGAATTAAAAACAAAAGAGTACTAGGTCCTAGGATAGTACCTTGTGGTACACCATTTGTTATATAAAAAAAATTGAGGAATTATTATTATAAACTACATATTGAGATCTATTAGAAAGATTACTTTCAAACCAAGATGACAGACAAATTTTAGTGTTGTTGTAGTTTCCGAGTGGTGAGTCAACACTGATTACTGAGCTGGGAGACATTGCCAGGCATAGCGCCATAAATCAAAACTAAAAAAAAAAAAAAAAAAAAAAAAAAAAAAAAAAAAAAAAAAAAAAAAAATCTTTTTTTTTACTCTTTCGCCGCATAGGCCGCACCCCGACTTTTTGATATTTTTTCTTCCAAAAATACTGCGGCCTATACGCCGGCAAATACGGTAGTGTATATGGTATAGATGTTGCACATACTTGTAAGCACCCTGAGCTAATTAGCAAAAACGGGAGTGCCCAACATACAAGTGCTAAAGTTCAAGTACTGCATGTTGTGATGGTGGATCATTGCATGTTTGTAACTAGGGAGTTGTCACTGATGAATGCTGTGTACTATACATTGTAGAGACAACAATTCCCTCCCATTTCTCATGCAGTGGACAATTAATAGACGTGTGTATATGTGTGCATGCTAGCCAACAAATGTATGCTGTTATTTCCTCCCATCATAACTCATAAACTCTCAAAGTAAAGAAAACATGACTGATTAACCATGCATGAAATCATGTATTACTCATAACATATAAATATTTAAACAAGTTAATGAAACAAATGTACACAGTAGTGTGTTTGTTAATCATTTTGCTAGTTCATATGTACGAACATTGTATTCAGTGTATTAAAGTGCATGTGCATTATGCTAATTGAAACTCTACATACCTTCAGAACTACCGGTACGTATTGTCTACATGTACATTGTACACTGTATATATACACACACATGAGGTACATGATTTTTTTTGTATGGTTATTTAATTAGCATGAAAGTTAATTGTTGTAAACGAGAAATTAACTATTTCATCCAGCCTAATTTAGGCTGCATGCTAACATGTTCATATACATGTAGGCCCTTACTCAAAGAATTATGCTTTGTTCTCTGATGATAACAAAATTAAATTTCATTTCATTTTCACATAGTTTCATTTTTCATTTCCTGATTGAGCATGTACATATATGTCAGATTTAAATACTGTAAATTATTATGGTCTGACGATAAATTAGGTTCTGATGAAATGAGTATGTATCACAAGAAAATCAAGCAATTTCAAGAGTAAAATATAGTGTACAAACAATTTATTTAAGAGCCATCGGCTCTATATAATTAAACATGCAAATAATTGACAAGAATAAAATGATTCAGCATCACTATGAACTTAGATAGGAGTATATCCTATCACTGTTTATGTCGACTTATCGTTACTCAATTATATCACAATATAATTCTCCATATTTCCAAAGGAAAAAAGATTACCTGATGACCAGGTCATCCTTCGAGGTATAATACAGTTAATCTCCCACCGACTCTAGCCCGGTCTTTATATAAAAAGTATACTGTTGTGGGTTAGAGAGTCCCGATTTAGAGTTCGTAAATACCACCTCTTCCTGTTTCTGAATAGGCGGAACGAAATACTCTGGTGTATGTTGTAACCCGGTGCGATGATGCATGACTTGCTAAGCCTGACCGGTGTACGACTGCAACGTGCGTTGACTCAACGACTTGACGCGAGTATGTTGCCTGAGCGTGTCGACTACGAACACATGTCCATTACGAACACATGTCCATTCACTGATGGTGCCTAGGGTTATGGCTACGAACAACATCTATTCATCTAACACCTGTCCATTACATTCTCTGTCTAAAAAAGAAATCCCAGTCACATTGTGACATACATATACTTTATGTTGTGTGTCACTGTGAATACATCAACTGGTTATACATGTACATGTATGTATCGGTACATGTAGCTTTATTTCCATTAGATTTTACATATTGTAAACACAATTATCTAGAAGGAGTACATGTATGTGAATGTATTTACCAGTTTATTTTTATAAGTGATATTTCTTCAAAGTTTGTATGTACAGTACAGTAAAACCTGTCTATTAAAGGCTAAGTCCACTCCAAAAATAATTTGCTTTTAATAGATGCAGAAAAACAGGAGAAACAGAGCAATTTTTTAAAAGCAAATTCAGATAAATAATAAGGAAGTTGTGACTTATTGAAAAAGAATGAAAAATTAAGTATGGAACTTAGAAAATCACTACACAAATTGCCTATTTGGTTATCAGTTTGTGACGTCATTGCCTCACTATTTATCAATTGCTTGATATGTTTTTATCCCATTAATTTTCCTTTTTGTTCCCCAAAACTTGATTTCTCCATGCCTTTGCCCAGGTTATATGATTTGTATCATATTGCGTGCAAGACATTTCACAAAAATCTTTTATGAACTTTGAAAGATTGATACTATTTTCTGTATATTGTACATTCATAATCATTGAATTTTATATAAATAGTTTTTTTCTCACTTTTTTCATGAATGAACTGAAAAAATTACTCTATTAGTGCATCCACACAAAAACCTATTACTATCAATATAACTTGGATGCTGGTGTGAGGAAATAATTTTTTGATTGACAATTTAATTAGTGGATAGTGAGGCAATGACATCACAGACTCATTAGTGAGTTGCCAATTTGTCTTGTGATTTTTAAAGACTTTCATGTCATTAAACATTCATAACTTTATTATGTGTCCGATTTTGCTCAAACTTTGCTTAATGGGTGTGTCTAATTTTTCTACATGTACTTCTATTGAAAGTAAGTTATTTTCGGAGTGGACTTGCCCTTTAAGGCCACTCGAGGGAACCAGAAAAAATGGCCTTTCTTTTTAGACAGATTCTACAGCACACTTTTCTCTGTTCAGGGAGACAAATTGCATGACTACTATAGACAGGCAGGTGGCCTTTATAGAGAGGTTGCCACTATGACATGTTTGACTGTATTTTATCAAATTTAACGATCCTTTTTTTCTCTGTCTTCTACATCCCCCTCCCCCTAATCTTCCGTTGCAGATTTGAGAATTGACATTTTACCTGAGGTGAACTCTTGACGTCATGGCTGCCCATAGGCTGCTGCTAACTGTTCTCTGCTTCTGTGCCGTGCTATGCTTGGTACATGCAAATCTGAGGGCCAATCATACTCAAAAGATAATAACCTCAATGAGCTGTAAGTTTACCACTTTCCCTATTTTGTTTTTATTTTATTTTTTAAATACAGATAATTGCAACCTGTACTTATACTTTTTATATCTATTTCTAACCAACAATAATATATGAGAAAGTAATATTTGACCACCACTTCTTCTGCTACTGCACTACTGAACTAGTAATAATGGGGATAATGATGAAGATGACTACTACTATTACTACTACTACTACTACTACTACTACTACTGCTACCAAATTTTACATGTAAACTGAAAATTTCAAGGACAAGCACTTATTGGCCCGAATTCACAAAGCAAGGTTTGAGCTCAGACCAAGGTTTGAGCTCAAACCTCCTTTTGTTTCGCCAAACCTCCTTTTGTTCTTTACAAACCAGGTTTGTAAAAAATGCGTAAAACGCGTCATATGACGTACGAAAACCTTGGTCTGAGCTCAAACCTCCTTTGTGAATTCGGGCCATTGTGTACGGTACTTAAAGTTAATACAAAGTTTTGGGAAATTTTGAAAATTGGATGGTGGTGATTCTTTTCAATTTGGATATATTTGGATGCCCCTGTGGATGTAATATAAGCACTAGAAAATTTATCCCCTAAAACAGTTCTGCTTTCGAGAAAAATTGAATATAAAAATTTACCGGTGCTCCCAGTAAATTTTGATTAATTTCAAATAGCGCTGTACGGCCGTACAATGGTAGCTGCAACCATGAAAATTTCAGAATATGTAGTTGTGATTTACAATTTCCAAATGGGAATAGCTATTCGGTCGATTTTAGTCAAGAAACATTGTTTATAGCTTAATTAATATCTTGACCTTGAGAGGGAGCTATATAACATGAAGAGTTTATTATTCATAATTTCATAACTTTAGAATCGATTTCAAACGTGACAACGATCACTGAATATTGTAGGGTCGCATATGCTTCCAATATGTTCATTTGAACCCAATTCATGACCCCATACCAAAACTTTGTATTACCTTTAACAACGTTCCGCAGTATTGTTTGTGCTCATGCACCCTAGCTGTGCAGGGCAAGCTGGTTATTCTTGCAATGCCTGGAGTTCCTGGTATTGTGCATCCCTGCACAACTAAGATGAGCACAAACATTGATGCAGAAAATTTTAAAGGTAAAGGTATGCCAAATTAAGTTTTAAAAGGGGTGCTTAACCACACATGTAAAATTATTACATAAAGTTTGGTGGGGAAAGGGTAGACAAATTGCATGCTCTCATTGTATTTGAAACTTTGCATTTAATATCCAAAATCTTGAATATCGTGTTTACATTGTCTAACTTGCTACAACTTTCTTAAACTACTGACATAACAGTGCCTAGAACAAATTTAAGATAGGAGAGTGAAGTTTTCACTACAGTGGCCCAGTAATATGAAAGAGGTTACCACATTAACTACGAGCTAGTACCTCTGTTTAAGTGCTGTGATGATACTGCAAACCATTGCAGCATTGGGGACGATCAGAGGAAGGTAACGAAAATGAAAATGAAAAATAATTTTTTGCAGGCAACATTGTGAATGAATGAGAAGTCGGAAAATCAATATTTGTCGTGAGGATCACATTTTTGTGAAGTCATAAAATTCAGCAGTAGTGTGTGTGCTTGATGCTGGTCTTACGTGGCTGAAATACTGCCTTTGTTTTTGGTTAATTTTATAACCGTGTACACAGATAGGAAATTACACGCAAACTCACAGCACTACCTCTGTTGAACCATTCAAAAAGTTTCTCAAAATGTATGTATTTTATACGTTATAGTTGGTTTTAAATTTGTAGTTGTATGTTTTGTAAGTTTTCATATATATTGCGGGTTACTGGTTTTAGCTTTTCTGTATAGTGCTTCAATCAGTTAATAATTGGATATAGCACTATAGAAGAAGCAATTATTATTATTATTATTGTATAATTTATTTCATGTGTGATATCAGGTGGGTTTTCTGTAAATGAAGTGCTAACATCGTCATCGTGTAACACAAACCTTCAGCAGGTCTTTAAGCTGCTTCATGTGGACAGCGACAGGGTTCTTATTGGAAGCACAGAATGTCTGTATGTTCTTGATCGTAATCTGGTAAGTTTGGCCCAAACACAGCTGCAATGACTCTAGTATCCACTGTACAATGTAGGTCCAGTTCAATGATTTGAAATGTACCAAAACTACCAATTACCAGATCTACATGTTTTGCCCCTTAATAATGAAAGGGGTTTCATGTGGCTATATTGTATTCAAAATAAGAACTTCACAAAAGAGATTTACACTTACGTCAATATAAAATGAAACTCTGCGGTTGACCACGTCATACATTATCATATTTGATCATGTTGGCTCTGGAAATTGCATTGATGTTCATGTGAGAATCACACATTTCAATAGGCCAAATGGAGGCAGTTGAGATTGCCCTGAAGCCACTGCGACCATGTTCCATGCAGTGGCGGATCTAGGGAGGGGGCCCGGGGGACCCGGACCCTGGCCCTCCCCTGGGAAAAAAACACAGGTAAAAACACGTTAATTTTACCTTTATTTGGTGACGGGCCTCCCTCCACTGGGCCTCAAGGGGGGGGGGGGGTGGAGAGGTGCGAATTTTCAAATTTCGAGTATTATCAAGCCAGCGCGATTTCCTAATTTTCGGGAGAAAAAAGAAGAAAAAAGAGTACTCCTTCCCCCCCCCCCCGCTTATTCACTGGCTGTCAGTTCGCCGCTAAATATGTTCTCACGAATTGGGCCCCCTCTTAGGCCCTGGCCCCTGGCTCCATGTGCATTAAACTTGCAATTTTTTCTTTTGTCAGACATACATCAATTCAACCCAGCTATCTCTGGATGGTGTGGATCTTGCCAATTGTGAAATCACTAATTCTCAAGAGGTTTGTACAATATTAAAAGGAAAATACAACCTTGATACAACGACTCTAAAAGAAAGCAGAAAAGTCAGAGTAGAAGAAAGTTTGAGTGAAATCAGACAACAAATAACGAAGTTGTGATTTTTGAAAATTTGTTACCGGTACTTCTATACCGGTATATATGCATGGGGATTTCAAATTGGCTGAATTGGTAATGTCAGTGTTAATATACATATTGCTGGATGACCCATTTGTTTCAACATATAAATTGGCTATAATGTCAAGTTCTCAAAACGTATTACTCAGGATTGTCCCTCGTTTTGGAGAACCTATAGTGAGATCATAATATATTTTGAGTAGTCCCCTATTGAAGAGAGAAGGCACTTAGGAGAAAAAATTAATTGATGATATTTTTGTAAAACGCAAAAATAAAGAGTTTATAACACAATGCACTGACAAAATTGCCAATTTGATATTTGCATAGCTATCGTGATCATTGCAAACTTTCACCATTCTGTTTATCTTACTTTACTTCTTTCATAGTAATACACATATTCTAAAGGTTAGAATGCTCTTTAAGGGCAGATCAGACCTCACTGATTTAACAACAATTAACTACCGGTATATTGAAAAATCAATTCCAAATCGCTCCCCACCTGTGTATGTATAAAAGGCTATGGAAATTGTTATAGATCAGACCTTAAAGACATATGCACATGAGTGTCCCTTTAATAACCATCAGCAGTTCCCAATTCGTACACAAAAAATAGTGATTTTACACTGCCTTGCCAATTTAGGGACTTAATTGATTACTTGCAATTAAATCTCTTTTTGCTCATGAATAAAATGTGTGGTGAAAAAATTATTTGAATGAATGAATTTGCTCAACCTTTGATGATAGTGAAACATTGCTGTGTAAATTTTTTCCTAGTGACCCCAGAAACATTGACTTTTGCTACTTCAACAATTGCTCCTGGCTTTCATCATGGGTAAAGAGTTTGGGTTTGGGTTTCTATTGGTTTAAGGATAGGGTTAGGGTAGGGGTAGGGCTAGGTGTTCTGTTGGGTGTAGGGTTGAAGTTAAATATTTCGGTTAGGGTGGGAAATTTTAATGGAGCAATTGTTGCTGGTGGAAATGTCTTACAATCATTTTCCTTCATCCTGCATGCGCAGAAGGACTTCCTATGCAAGAACTACATCACATATGCGCATGGAGTGAACGAAACAACAGCCCGTGTGTGTGGGACCTACGACTCTTTGAATCCACGCTGTTGGACTTGTCGATATGATGGCACAGTATGTATAAGTAGTGTACATGTATTTGTGGTGTTATAGTCGATCAAAATGCATGTTAGATGGTTGAATCATTCCAATACGCAATCGCAACAACCTTTAAAAAAACCTACATGAAAGTTAGCTTCAGTGGCCTTGTACATTGCCTTTTGAATGTGCAAACATTAAAAAGACATGTTACGTAATCCATGTGTGATTTCTAAGGGACATACATGTTGAATAGGGTATTTGAGTTGATATCTCGTCAAAGTTTATTCAATCGTGTACCATGGAAAGATATAGAGAGGAGAACATCATGGTTTGGATGACTCTAGTTTTTTTGTTGAAATTCTTTTTTTTCTTCTCTATTTAAAATAATTGTAATGCACTAAATAGCATTTGATGATGATCGATGATGATAATAATAACAACTTTGAGACTTAATTTTTTTCTTGATATTTCTTATGCCTCATTGAGTAACTGCAACCTTGAAATTGAGAAATTTATCTCAAGATGGACATATTGTCAAGGTTTTCTCTGAAAGAACACACTTGAAGATACCATACAAGAAATAAGTGGCTAATTTCAGCCAATACAAACTCATCCTCGTAGTAAAAGCCCTTGATACAAGTACATATACACATTTACATGCACATGAATGTCAAAGATGTAGTTTGTAAATTGTGCTCTATTCTTGATCATGAGTTTTATGACTGTCATTCTTACTTTGCAGAGTTGCGGTGTTGGATACAAGACCCTAGTTATGCCAAGGACTCCAACAGAGAACTTCACAGTCACCGTCACTAACATAACAGGTGAGTATATTCAATTTTTTCTGCCATATGTTCCTTTTCACATTGAAGATCTATTATTAAAAGGCTCTTGTCTCTTGCCTTTCAGTCACATGTTTATTGAATCATTGTGACAGAAGTGTGGAGGTGTCTTGGTATAGTGGTTCATTTACTTATTGAGGATTTAAATCCCTGCCTAGGACTAACGTCCTTTGGGAAGACATTTATTCACATATTCCGCTCTCCACCCTTAGATAAATGGGTACCTCGCAATTGCTGGGGTAATAATAATTTCAGGGCCCTCATGAAGAAAAGCATTGATGCTGATGAGACTTCCTTTTGTAACAAAATTATTATTCTTATAGAAGTTTCAACAAGATAAATGAAGGCACAACTTTTTCATCAAGTCTGTAAGAACTTAGTTTACAATAAATGATTTGTTTCTTTCCGGCTTTGTCTGTGATTTTGAAGCTATTAATCCAGATGTCGCATGCTGGTGGTTTCTCTGAATATTACCTAAGAAAAGAGGAGCTAGAGTTAAAATCTAGATCAGTGCTCCACACATGCCCTGGCATGGTAGTTCACGGTTTCCAGGTCATCTTGGGTTGGCAGGTGTTCCATTGTCTGTTACTGGCCACATTAACGTGCTGTTTGTTCGTCTCCGAAACCCCACCTCCGCATTAGGACTCCGCATTGTCTGTAACTAGTTCTTTGACGGTTGATCGAGGCTCAGCCATGAAGGCCAAATCTTGCTGGAGCCGGATGCGAGGGATTCCTTGGGGCTGAGCGAGAGTTTATGTGGAGTGGTGTGGAGGTGGTTAGACCACAAGGTCATCCTTTGGTTGTGAGGGCTGGTATTAAGGGGCTCTACAGTGTTCAGGAAGCTTTGTCTGGATTTGAGCCGCTTGCCAACTGGCTGTTGTTGGAAGAGTAGGTGGAGTGGATTATTTTCTTGGTTGTCCTTTTCTTTCTGGGACAATACCAACCTTCTGATGTGTGGTGGGACATTACAGCAAAGCAGGTAGAGGTCTTCTGCTTTAGTTGGCCTAAGGCAACCATAATGGCTCTGCAAGATGAATTTAGAGCTGGGTCAATCTTGGGGCGCATGGGTTGACCTACTCCATACTGGTGATGCATACTCCGCAGCAGAGAAGCAAAGCGCAAGGCCTGTTATCCGCATTGTTCTTGCATTGGTCCCCCAGTTGGTGTTGGCTAGCTTCTTGAGGATGCTATTGCGGGCTCAAACTTTTGCCTTTGTGTTGACAATGTAGTTCTTGTAGGTACAGTGTAAGGGAGCTATCCAGTGTGATGCCTAGGTAGACTGGGTTGTGAGTGTACTTCAGCCTTTTCCCATACCTGCTGATCCTTAGTTGAAGGTTGGCATCCCTGTTCTTCAGGTGGAATGCACTTATCTGAGTTTTGTCAGGGTTAGCTCTCAGATTTTTGGTCGCGTAGTACACTATGGGACCGGCAAGAGAATCACTGAGGGAATCCTCTGACTTTACGAAAGACTGGTTCTGGGTGGCGATGCAGAGATAATCAGCATAGAGGAAGCTCCTGGTGTTTGGATGGATTGGTTGCTCGTGACTTGAGATCTTGGTTGCACCTTTGTATAGTCGTTGCCCAGTATCCGGATCGTTTTCTGTGCTTTCCTTCTGCTATGTGTCTTGTCAGTGGATTGTATGAATTCCTGCCACTTCCTCCTTTTAGATTCAGCACTTTCTTTGGTCAGATTTTCTCCAGATTCCAGTGTCTCCTCACCAAAGGGGAACATCTTGAAGTGTTCAATGTAGCCTTCATACAACACCTTGGAGTGGTCCGTCAATCCTTGAATGTAGCTTGTGCGGCAGTCACGGGGATGTTACGCCTTGAGGATTTCTTCATCAACTCTACAAAGGTGTCATAGTTTTGGGGGATGGAAGGTAGGCCTCGTATGGAAGAGTCAAGGTCCTTAGCACACTTTTCCCAGTTTGCCTTCCTCAGATTGAAACGAGGTTGGAAGGATGCTGCTCGTGGAGTAATGACTGCATTAACTTTAAGCCCTATCAGTCGGTGCTGGGAGTGAGGGATTGGGTCGAGAAAGATTTTCTCGCACTGATTGGCAATCCTGGTAGATACAGGGTTGTAGCATCATCTCCACCTTGTGCTGTTGAAGGAGGGAGGTAGCTTAGCATTAGTGCTGTAGCCAAACTGCCGAACCGAATGGAGGTTCGCCGAACATGGCACTTAATTCCGAACCGAACCGAACCGAACCGAACGCAAAGGCCTGGTTCGGATGTTCTGCAGAAAAATATTAACGTTTTCACAAGCTTATAAACTTGTCATTTTGTACCTAATTTTCATGTCATGATTGCTCATTTTATATTTACTCTTTTCTCATTTTCTGCCTTTGTGATTTATGCCTATCCAGTGGTGGGCGCGACTTTACTGGCGCCATTTAAATCCCAAATCCTGACCTCTGCTACGTCGCGATCGCAAGCCATTAACAAGAATACATGTGCGTGCTAGGTGCTGATCAAAACAAGTTTAGCTCAAACAGATTTAACAACAAAACAAATATTTTAATTGTAACAATATCGGACAAAATTTACAATATAAATAATGAAATAAATATATATTATAATATGGTATATATTTATTCAGGAAAAATGGGGATTTTATATTTTCCTATTAAAAATAAACACTTTTAAAAAACAGTTATCGACGTGCCTGAGTCGCTATTCAAGATGGCAGCTTTCATGACTCTAACATTAGACATCAACCGTCTCGGAAAATCTTTATAAAGTATCATTTATTGACAAATTGAAAACATGATTCTTTTAAATTTGCAAATATAACACGAATCAAGACGGAAATACGAATGTAAGTAGTACTTTTCTTCACAAATAATTACGTTTAGAGCAGTTTTTTAATGCGAAATTTGTGCTGGTCGGAAGCAATGTTTTTTATTGGGAGTGGGCAGAAGTCTTCCGTGCTGGTGGGGCCCGTCCGGCCGACCCGCCCAGTGCCGAACGCCGTGGCTATAACGCTGCTTGCTATTATATTACCGAACCCCGAACTGAACCAGGTTCGGGTGAAAATTTTCCAAACTCTGCCGAACCGAACCGAACACGAACATAGCGTCTGACTTACAGCACTACTTAGCATCATGCATGAGGGACAGCTGGTTAGCATCTGCCCACGTCTCAGCAAGTTCACCATCTTCATTAATTTTTTTCATAGCCCCAGGTAGTGCTGTGGCTGTTGAAATCACCAATGACCACATTCATCCTGCCGTCAGTAGCTCTGCTGGGCAGGTCGAAAGGCTCAAGAGGTGGCTTGTAGACTAAGCGTATGGTGATTCCCATTAGGTCAATGGAAAGAACTTCAATGTTATGAAAGATTTGTCCACAGTAAGCCCATTATGGACAAAGATCACGCTTCCGTACTGGTCATGTGGTCCCCCTTTGATGAGGGTCATTCCGGAGATGCGAGTGCGAACTCGTCAAGGCCCGCGATGAGTTTCCTGGAGGCAGAGAATGTCACAGTTGATTTGTATACATAGGTCAGCCAAGAGTTCTTGTTTGGTGCCTGTAAGACCTTCAATGTTGGATGAGATGATACTCAGAGCCGGTCCTGATAAGGACCCGTGAGTTTGACTTCGAGCCTTAGCAAAGAATTGGTCATCATTGTCGTTGGTAGCCATGGTGTTGGTTGAGGTAGTTACTAATAGAACTTCAGTAGTGTGGTTGAAGCTTTTGCAGATTTTCATCTGACAGGGACCGTAACTTGAACGCTCCTTCAATGGCCCCCGAAACCTAGATTAAAAACCAGGTTGATGAGTCTCAGGTGGCAATCAATGCAGCTTGCACGAGTGGCATATCAAGGTTATACAGAATAATGGCCAGTCTGACAAACAGAAGATGTAGTTGAGGTTGAGCCAATAAAATAATTGGCATATGGGACTAGTAGTTTATATGAGGATCCCACACAAGAAAAGGAGGCTTCAGAAAATGTTGCCGAAAAAGTATGAAATGCAACACCACCAGCATAGTAAGATTCAAATTCAATTCAATTCAATTCAAATTCAAAGTTTATTCAACACTCTTCATAAAAACATTTAAAACATACAAATACAGAATGGAGTTATAAATATTAAAAAACACAAGAAAGTGATAACAAATACAATGGCAATTTATAAGAGCATTTGGGATAGGCAGAAAGGAGGGAAGTTCCTCATATAAAAGCCTACATACATGAAAACGAGAACAAAAAAACAGAACAAAAAAACAAAGAACATATTAAAACTTACTATCATGCACGATCAGAGTAATGTATATAGGAAAAATGTCAAAAATTTGCCCATACTATTGATACTGATTATTATAATTGTTCAACAGAAATTGTTTATATTTAATTTTAAAAAGATAGAGAGTTTTGCATTTTTTTATTTCCTGAGGTATACTATTCCATATTGATGGTCCTTTAAAAAATAGTGAATTTTTCATACAAGTCGTTCTAATCTTGGGGAGGTGATAATTTAGGGCATTTCTAGTATTAAAATTATGCACATCACAATTCAAGTTAAAAAATGTTGATAAAAAGGTAGGCAAGTTGTCATTAAAACATGAAAACTGCAATATAAAAATTATGCATATCGATTACATTCAAAATTCCAAGTTTACAAAATAAAGGATTACAGTGAGCATAATATTGGGAATGAGTTATAATGCGTATTGCTTTCTTTTGAAGCTTAAGTAACCTTAACATATCATTTTTATTAAAATTTGCCCATGCAACTATACAGTAATTAAAATATGGTGTTATTAAAGTATGATACAACATTTCCAAAATATTTAAGGGATAAAAATGAACTTTATATAAAATACCAATATTTTTTGCTATTTTATTGCACACCACATTTTTATGCTCATGCCACTTCAATTTATGATTAATTATAATACCTAAAAACTTAAGATTATCTACACGTTCAAAATTATGATCATTTACTCGTAAGTGCATGTTGTTAAAATCAATATTTCTAT